ACCGGGGCCTGACTCCGCTGACTGCATGTGAGCCGGGCAGTTTACTTCTAGCGCATCCCACATCCAGACTCACATTACCTAGTTGGTCTCTAACTCAAGGGTTCCCTCCTCTGTTGAAGATTCTGATAGGCTGCCCACCCTGCTTAGAGAATGCGGGCAGAACCTGAGATGGTCCAGCGAATGTGAGCAACTGTCATGACTCAGAGTCGCTGTTTTCTAGGACCTTGTCAAACACAGGGAGGCCGGCGATGCGAGGTGATAGGACTCAGGGGCTGGATCGCTTCACAGGAGGTCATAAGTGATGAATTTTGCAATCCTTCTCTGGCTCCTGAGTTAAAAGAGCAGATCCAGAAAAGGCTGGGAGGTGTTTCCAGGCCTACTTCTCAGTCAAATGAAAACTTGAGAGAGACTGGAAATGACCTTGGTAACCTCAGCTGGGACAACTGAGGAGGAGGTACCACAAGTTGTAGCAAATCGCAGGCTGGCTGGTTCCTGGTGTCATGGAGGGCACAGGAGGAGGCAGGCCCTGTGTTTGGAGTGTGATCTGACAATATTCTGGTAACAGGGAGGGAGACCAGAAGTTTCTGAGATGTCTTTATTTTTTTTTTTAATACAGTTTTATTGATTTCGGAGAGGAAAGTAGAGGGAGAGAAAGATAGAAACATCAGTGATGAGAGAGAATCACTGATCGGTTGCCTCCTGCACGCCCCCCACTAGGATCGAGCCTGCAACCCAGGCATGTGCCCCTGACCAGAATTGAGCCTGGGACCCCTCAGTCCGCAGGTCAACGCTCTATCCACTGAGCCAAACCAGCCAGGGCTGGGATGTCTTATCATCAAAGGGAAACAAACTCTAGCCCTGAGAATCCAGGCCCAGCTCTGCGAGATGAGAAACGAGGCTGCAATGCAGGGGACACATCTTCATGGACTGTGGTCTCAGAGGTCGGGGTCCGTATCTTACTCTCATTAAAATAATTTTGGGAGGACATAGGCTCCTTCAAGGATTTGACAAAAATTAGAAATTCTCTCCCCAGAAAATTCATATATGTGCACATACAAATGCACAGAATTTTGTACCTAATGGTGTTAATGGTCCTTGGAGACACTGAAGCCTGTACCCAGTATAAGACCTCAAACACTGGGTTTTGATCTTTAAGGAAACACCTAAACTAAATAATACTGCTAACAGCTCCCTCTCTAAAAAAACCTTCTTTTTTGGCATCAACTTATATATCTGCTGTCTTCTCTAAGAGTTGTGCTATATTTCTATAGTTTCGTCTATACCACCAGGGAATCCTCCTAATGGATTCCAACTCATTAGCTTATGTGCAACTTCAAAAAGTTCAACATTATGGCTGGGAACACAGGGGTTTTGGGGAGAATGAGAAAATCAGGATTAGCATTGGAAATTGGACTTTTTACTCGTTAATGATGCACATTTCCTTCTTTGATTACATTTAAAAGAAAAAACCAAAATATCCCAAAACTTTCTGGGTCAAACAGACCTGGTTTTGAGTCCTAGCTCCCTTGCTTGCCGGTTCCATGACTTTGTCTAGTTCCCTAGTTTCTTCACTGGAAAATGGAGGCCATTCTATGCCTCCTTTATGGGGCTGTTGTGAAGGTTAAATGCCAAGTACTGAGCACTGTGGCTGGCACATCGGTGGGGTTCCATAGAAACTTTCTGTAATTATAATATTCTGACTGCTTCTTGGTACCAGACCCTTGATTCTAGCCAGGAATGGACAGCAGGGCTGCGGACATTCAGCAGTAGTTGATTCACAAGAGCCTACCCACTTCTCCTGACAGGCATTAATTACCTAATGGGCAGCATGTGACTGTGTGAGTCATGGGGGGCTCTGAACTCAAAGGCAGCTGTGGTGCTGAGTCAGGGCTTGGCTGATGAGTGGAGCAGACACAGTCTTGTGGAGGAGGCAGGCTGCACAGCCAGCACCCTCTGTCACCCTGTGTCACTCTTCAGGGCCAGCAACAGGGCTAAAGGGCAGGGTGGGTGACCCAGAAAGGTCTCAGGCTAGGGTGACTAGCCCAGACACCTACAGAGCCAGGCCCACTTGTAAGCAAGCTGAGGCGCATGAACTGGTCCCTAAACTTGCATTCCTTTGAAGTAGAGACCAATCAACTAGGAAGACTCTTCATTTCACACAGAAATGTGTGCTAAAAAACCCAAGCCCCAAAGTCTAATTTTTATTTTCTCCTTTTAATAGATTCATGGGTCTAGAAAAATCTTTCTCCACTATATAAAAGACCATAAAGCAAGAGTGACAATAAGTAGCAACTGAATCCATCCTGGGTATTGGGGAGTGTTCGGGAGGGCTGGGGTCTGGTGAACGGGGCAGTGCCTGCCTCATTAGACAGCAGTCTTTACTCCACAGGGAGCTGCTGTCACGTGGGGAGGCAGATCCAGTACTGCCAGATCTAATCAATTTTCCAAGAGAAGCTAGAAATCTAGATGTTTTTAAGGATACCCCTGGAATTTAAACGTTTCCGTATTTTCAAGATACAGTGGACTGAAGGAAACACATCTATGGGCCTTACCTGGCCCTCAGTTTGCTCATTTATAACCTTTGGTCCAGGAGGTTGAAGGAGAAGCTGCAGTGAAAGGACAGGTGCCTACGAGAGGTTATCACATGTCCTCGCTGCGGACTCTGCTGTCACGTGGGGGCTCCTACGCCCTGGGCAAGAACACACTGCTTGGATGAGATGCTCTGGCCAAGCCCAAGGTCCCCTCAGACCCCTCTTCCAGCTACACTGACCCCACGTTTCTCCCGAGTGTCAAATTCCCATGTTCGGCTGCCAACTTACAATCTCCCCTTGGAGGCCTAATGGGCCCTCAACTTAACATGCCTGCATTGGCACCTGGCTTTGATTCCTTCCTTCACACCTGGTCCTCCCTAACTCCACAAATGGCATCACTACTTCCCCGTTGTTCATGCTAAAAAGGCAGAATTCTTCTTGTTCCTCAGACTCTACACCAGTGGTTCTCAACCTTGGCTGCACATTAGAATCACTTGGGAATCTTTTTAAAAGCCTGATTTCTAGGCCTCATCCTCCGGAAATTCTGTTTCCTTGTTATGGGGTGAGGCCACAACATTAGTAACAAAGTAACAGAATTTCTGGAGGATGAGACTCAGAAATCAGGATTTTAAAAAGATTCCCAGGTGATTCTACTGTGCAGCCAAGGTTGAGAACCACTGCTCTACACCTTACCCACCAGGAAGTCCTGTCAATGGCATGTTCAAAATAGATCTGAAACCTGACCCTCCCCACCACCCTCCATCACCTCCCCAGTCTAAGCCACCCTCCCCGCACTCCAGCCGAGATGGTACAATAACCTATGAAGGGTCGACCTGCTTCCCTTCACAGCCTTCTCTCTTACAGTAACTTCTCCATGAAGCAGTTGGTGGGTTTTTAAAATACACATATAGATCAGATCACATGATCAAAGATCACATGGCTTCTCAAATCCAAACCATTATAACCATGACTGTCAGGGCTTGAGAGCCTTGAACATTCCTGTGGCTCCTTCCTTTACTTCATTCAGGCTGCTGCTTGTGCCACCTCCTCAGGGAGGTTTTGCTGACCGTCCCCCTATGGAGGCTCCCCCTTTCAGCCCCACCCTATTCAGCCCTGCACTCTATCCCTTAATTAACACTTCTTTATTTTTCTCCTAAGCACTTACCAGTAACTGACGTTTCTGTCATTGTCTGCCTCCTCCCCTGGAATGTGAGCTAAATGATATCAGGGCTTTCGTCTCTTATTTTACAATGTATGCAGACAGCCTACATCTGTGCCCAGCACATAGTAAATGCCCAGCAATTATTGGGCTGGAGGAACTGACATAGATCCGTATGTAAACTTCGAGTGGCCGAAGCCAAGGTCTGACCCAGCTGCTTACTGGGAAGTCTACTCACTGATTGAGGAAGGCAAAGAGGTATCTCATGATGATCAGAGTGGTTTTGGGCAGAACCAGGAGGACTTTCCGGATGTGCAGAGCTCTCTCTTGTAGGTTGTCCATTGCTGAAAGAAGAAAGCCATGTGTTACCTCCATTGTGGCTGAGATCCCAGGGAGTAATGGTAAGAAGAGTACTACCGGCAGGTGAAACACAGAGTGGCCAGGTCAAGTCTATGCAACACTGGTGCACTGTACAAGGCATTTCATCCCTGTGGCTTGTGCGGTCGGGGGATACCTGCTGGGCTCCAAACACTTACCAGTGCAGGACTTAAGGTATATGCTCCTTGGGCACAGAAGGGTTTGGAGATATTCCCTAAGCACCTACCCTCTTATTAAGACAACCACAGACAAGGAACTATCCATAAACCTGCTATGACTGCTCGACACCCGCCTTGGAGGGCCTACGTGTGGGGAGGGAGGGAACCTGGGCAAGTCCTGTCCTGCCTACTCTACCCATGCATCGCCTTATCCTCTGCACAAGTCTGGCTTATCTTCCCCTCGCTATCTGCAGTGCAGACGAGAAAAATGTGTCAAGAGACAAGCAATGGCTGCCCCTGTTAACAGTAATATCTGGGAAGTTTCCTGACTCTCACCATGAACAGATTAATTACAGGTGTGGCCCCAGGCGAGGGGCCTCCATGATGGCCAGCTTCCCACTTGCTGTGTGTCATGTGGATATAATGAGTATCTTTTTGTAAAAAAGAAATGAGAAGCAGTGGATGAGGAGCATTGTCAAGGGGAGAGTTGGGCAGCCAAGGTATCTCGTACTGTCTTGGTCGTCCCAGTCTACTTAAGATAGTTGACCTAGGCCCAGTCTTAGAAAAAGACATGAAAACAGGAAGGATGCATGTATTTGCTCACCCACAGAATTCATTCCCACCAGACTCCCACACATAGTGGGTCAACAAGTAAAATAAGAGGCCCCTGAATGCTCAGGCCCTTTCCTCTCAGAATAACAGAGGACAGTGCTCAGGGCATATATGAGTCAAACTGGAAACTCGGGGTGGGGTTGGGGGAAGGAGATCTTGGGGAAAGGCTGGTTTCTCCATTTCAAAGGCACTGCCTTCTCCAGCCTCTGGAGCCACCAATCCAATGGGATGGGATTCCAGGGTGACCCGATATTAATCCAACTTCCCATGGATCACTTTATTTTTTTTTTAATATATTTTATTGACGGTGATTCCAGGGTGACCCGATATTAATCCAACATCCCATGGATCACTTTAGATCAAGAGGCAGAGAACCTCGCCGGGGGATAAAACAGACTATCTCTCTGTGAAAATATATTGCTGCTTTTATGCCCAGAGGGTTTTTATTCCTAGAAGAACATGTATTAAAATATCCAGCAGGTAAGCCACGCCATGTGCAGAACAACACACAGGGAATAGTTGTAACACCGATGCTTTCTCCCTGTGTATCATGAAAAGCGTAAGCACAGACTATGTCTTATATATAAATATAAATCTATTTTACTGAAGACAAAGCCCAGAGAAGCAAAGGAATTTAAGGTGAATCAGGAAGAAAAAAAATCCCCACCAAGGGATAGAGGAATGTTGATGAGGAGGAAAAACTTCACTGAAAAAAGAAAATATTACTGCAAAGCTTATGAGAAAAAAAGAGCCTGTGGAAATTTCTTCTCTGTTGCTACAAGGCTCTCTGGCCAGTCTGAGGCCAGGACGGTACTTACTCACGCAGGCCATCAGGTCATGGAAGATGTCCTTGGGGAAGAGAGGGTGTTCCAGGCCCCGGAAGTAAAGCTTCAGGACGCCAGCTATGGAGTCCATGTCATGGTCATTCTGGTCCCCAGCCAGCGGGTCTTCTCCTGATAAGCAACCCCCCCAAAAAACCAAGAGGGTGAGAGAGGTAAAACACGTAGGATGAAGCAGAGGTGGTGGGGGAGGGGTGATCTAGTCAAGTTCCTCATCCCAGTCCATCAGCTCTCTGTCAAGCATG